CCTTCTTTCCATATGTCAACAAACGTTGAAGCTGCTTACCATTTTTGCCAGCTTTCACATCCTCTCTTTAAGGCTTCAAGCAACGGAAGCATCGTATTCATGTCCTCTGTTGCAGGGATTATATCATTTGAATGTGGATCCATTTATGGTCTAACAAAAGGTAACAAGAGTTGCTTACCACTAGATGCATTTCATTGCAAGGCCAATTAATCAACAAGGACTTTTGCCTTGTTTTTTTTTAATAGGAGCTCTGAATCAGCTAGCAAGAAATTTGGCATGTGAATGGGCAAAAGATGGGATAAGAGCCAACGCTGTTGCACCTAATGTTGTCAAGACTTCTCAGTCTCAACCTGTAATAAAAAAAAAAAAAAACTTATAACATGCCAAATTTTTGTTTAATAACTCCAATTCCTCTAATCATCTCTCAATTTTTGTTTCTTAAAYTATCTTGAGGACGTCCGTTTTAAGGAGGAATTGTTCAGTAGAACTCCACTTGGTCGTGCTGGAGAGCCGAATGAAGTAGCATCACTAGTGGTCTTCTTGTGTCTACCTGCGGCTTCTTATATTACTGGTCAAACCATTTGTGTTGATGGTGGRCTTACTGTTAATGGCTTCTCCTATCAACCACAAGCTTGAGAATGTCCTTGTCACGTTTTGTCTGTTTYTCGTAAACTTTCAATGTTCTCACTCCAATAAAAGCTCTCACGCAATGAGTTTTATATACGAAAACATAAACGAGTTGACAATACCATTTTGGAGATGCTAATCTTGTTCGGATAGAWGATTTTATTACATCCGCAACTCCAWCAACTTGTAGCAATGTCTGTCTCATACATCAAAATGACAAAATAGATTCTTGAMTAAGCATCTCATGGGAAACCAACGTACGTTGCTTACCTTTCCAAGCTCTTTTGGACTCATATCCGAGTCTTTGGAACCTTTTAGCCATTGAGTGTCTTTGCTTCAAACACACTCAATGGTATTTTTGACAATTCCATTGTGTAGCTGCTGCAATATCTCTCTCATACATCAAAATGTCTATTCTATGCTTATTTTCCATTTTTTTTCCCAAAAAGTCAGTATTGTCCATTTCTTTCTCTTTGTCTTTGAAAAAGCAGATCTAGAATTATATAGTTGTGTATTCTTTGAAAAACTCGTTTTATGGTTATTAATGCCTTTTCTCCTATAACCAATTTTTCATATTTCTAAAAATAATTTGCAATGTCGTATCTTGTTTTTAAACATATAGATATTCATTAAATAGTAAACCGATAGTATAAAGTGTTAATTAACCATGTCGTATCTTTTCATATATATTTTTTAATCTTCTTATTTCTACCGTAAAAATATTAAAAAAAAAATTAAGACGTTAACATCTTTGTATTGTTATCTTGTCACTATATATTTTTATTTATTATCGTGTTAAATAATTTTTAAGAAAATTTAGCAAATAACATTTTCCACACTATTTCGTGGAGGTATGATTCCCAGTTGAATTAATATTACTAACTAAACTTATCAATTAGTTCATAACTAGTCTTAAACTAGTTCATAACTAAACTTATAATTAACTAGTCTTATATTAGTTCATAAATTCTAATCAAATTAAAATTTGAATTAAAAAAAAAGATTGAAACGTATCGAAGCTTCCGGTTTCGACTTAACCAAATCAATCAAATTGTAAATCAAACCAGTGTTACAACTTACAGTACGATTTAAAAAAAAAAAAAACTTAACAGTACGGTTCCACATATCATCCTTATTTAAATCAAACAATCATGCACCATTGACGTAACCTCTTTTCTTTTTTCTTATTTTTTCCATTGACGAAACTCATGCAAACAATTATAATACACAATCGCGCAGCATGCATATATTATTATTATAGACATCAAATCATGCATCACGAGAGACGTGTTGATTTTAATATGTCTATAATATGTAATAATACGTACATATTAGACAGCAAATCATACATCACCAGAGACGTGTTCATTTTTACAGGGAAATAGGTGATCATCCCGCACCATGTGCGGGTATAATTTTTTTTTTATCAAATTATGTTATTTTTGGTATTTAATAATACGATTATATCATGGGTGATTTGCAGCAATAACCAAAAAAAAAATATATTTGCAATCTAATGAAAATAGTATGATATGAAAAAATAGGAGCCATTAGATTAGGATGATTTAGTTAGTTAGTAAAATATAATTTTTTTAGGTTATTTTAGCCAATTTCCCTTATATCATTTATAAAAATTAAATATGCATTTTGTTAGTTTTTAAATTAATATAAATGTKYGAAATTAYTATGCATATATATAAAATTTTGAGTATCGTTGTGAAAAGTATGGACTTTTATTTGGTAACATTTTTGTATTTGTGTAGAAATAAAACGCAAATATTAAAAA